CTTCTTCTTTTTTTTTTTTTTTTTTAAACTTAACTTCTTCAATCATTTTTTAGATAAACTAATTTCTTCAATCTTTGGGTTCCACGCAACTGGTTTATTAAGTAAATCGACTTGGCTAAGTGTAGTAACGACTCACGAGGGTGGATGAAAGTAGGTTAGGTTCATAGTTCGAACCCCTTACCATAATAACCAAAAAAAGTAAAGTGTGTAGATTAAGGACTTGTTTGAACGTATTTTTAAAATGACTGAAAGTGATTTTAGATAAAATATTTTTGGCCTAATAACATACTGGTGTTTCTTGTAGTAAGCACTTCAAGCTTTTTCACTTTCACTTTTACCAAGGATTGGTTCCACTAACATTTTCACCAAAAGCTCCCAAAAGAGCTTTTAACTTTTCTAAAAACACTTTCAAACGAGTCATAAGTTCAAATTCAGGCGCCTTAACATGACAAATTAAACATGGATTTTGCAAGTGAACATCACCATCATTAGGTAAAACACCAATTAAACATGAAAACCCCACCAACAACTAAGTTTCTTCGAGGCATAATTTGACCAGCCAACCGCATATGAAATTCTTAGGCAGACCAATGAGCTTTCTTTCACCGACTCAGAAACCCAACAGCCAAACGCACAATAACCAAACGAGTACAGAAAAAACCCTAAAAAGTCAAGCTAAGCTCTTGAGAAGTGAGTGGAAACGAGAGTTTGGATGGGGACTGGTTTGATTCACCTGAGATGACAACAAGAAAGAAATTGAACATCTGATCATGGGTGGGGTTCACCTTCTTTGCTTTTAAACAAAAATGCAAAACCCAACACAAAGATGTGTATAATCATGGTGATTTGAATCCTCTTCCAAACTTTACTGTTCGAAGTTTAAGAATAAGAAAATTCTTGATTTTTGTGAAAATGATATCAGAATTCTTAATTTGTATGAGATGTGACAGCGAAATGAGTTAACGAGGACCGTCAGATTTAATTTGAGTAGTCCGAATTATTTGGTTTTTTGCTTCGGACAGTGAGATCCAAAGAGAATCTATGTCCTATAAAAATTATATGTTGCATCTAAGTATGAGATAATTCTGATTTTCTAGTTATCGAATTTTGATTTTTGTATTTTTGAACAAAGATCTAATACTTGAAAAATCAGAAGTATCTCACACTCCAGAATATTGCATACTCTTTTTTTTTTAACTTTATAGTACCTATAGACATTAACTGTTGACATTTTTAAGTCATTGGATCAAATCCAATGGTCACCAATTAACATTTTAATGTCGTTAGATTTTATTTAACGGTTAAACGTGAAGCGATACGGTACTTAACGACCTTATGGTATTCAAGAAAAATACATCATGACATGGGAGTTTCGCTTGTGATTTGGAGTGCAGAATAATGTGATTTGACCAAAAAAATTACCCCTCACAAAGTGTGTGACAATACACGACCTCATGCATAGGAATTGTTCTGGTGGGTTGGGGTGCAGAATCTTACAAGTTTAGGACAGCATAATTAAAAAATAGGACTAATATATTCTTCCCTATTCTAATAAGTATGTGTCATGTTAATAACAAAAATGTTGTGATTTAATCATGATTAGTAAAAATATAGCCTTTTCTATTATGTCGTGAACATTGCAAATCACACGTTTTGACATACGTTTTTTATATTTTATTTCTAGAGTTCACTTCATAGTGTATTTTAACAATTTAAACTGTCTACATTTTAGTTTATCTTTCATAAATCATTATTCTTGAAAAAAAAAATAGACAAATTCAAAACCATTATGACATTCGTTTGTAGTGAAGAAAATAATCGAATACGATTCTACAAAAAACATTATATTTAATTTAACAATCATATGATTTCAAATTTGGTTGATTTTTCATAGATATGATCTTTGAGATGAGATATTATTTAATTGTTGAAATATATTACAGAGTGAGTTACACTAAAACGTGTGTCAAAATGTATGTCAAAAGCGCTGAAAATTGAGAGGGAGACTGGTTTCGGTGGAAGCAATTTTAGGACCACATGATGCAGAAGTTTGGTTCATATCTTTGTGAAAAGCTTAAAGCTAGAATTTGAAGGGCAGTGAAATTAGTGTAGCTTCGGACTACAAACATGACAAGAATATGCTTAATTACCATATAAATTAAAGCCAATGACAAAGAATTTGGCACTTGGAGCATCCGATCCAACATGTCCCATTCCTCTTAAACCAACCAATTAGAATTTCTTTACTTCACATGGTCGGAAAGATTATATAAAACAAAGTCATGTTTTGCAGCTCATGCTATACAACTTTTTATATTTCAAAAAACTATGTTATGTCATGCACTCGCTACTTTAATGACTTTTACATACTATAGATAGAAACGTAAATTAATCTATTCATAAATTAGAGTTGTAACTGTATCGATTTTTTAACTCTTTTTTTCCTCATCTTTATTCTTCATTGGACGGTTCGGATGGACTTCATCGTTCTTTACCAAGTAAACTAGAAAATGCTCTATCACATCGATATGTCTATCCGGTTTTCCGTTTCCAATGAGGTGAAGAATATTTTAAACACCTATTTATATTGTATTTTTTGGGGCCCTTCATCTTGCGTCGTTCCAACAACCGGCGGAGAGCACCTTAGTATGCGATTGAAGTTGTTAACGTGTCGATTTTTTAAGCCAGTATTTTCGCTGAAAAGAATTTAAAGGATCACCTTGCATACCCTAATGAGTATTCATAATCAAAGAAAGCATATTATTGAGCGACTATCTATGACAGAGAAACTTAACTCAAATCGAAAATGTCTCTGTGTCGATATCTTATATCAATTGAAGATTTTGGTACAACAATTAATGAAAGAGGAAAATAAGTGAAGGACATTTCTCCGTAGTATTCTGCAGAATGCAGCCCTGAATGATCCAACAGATTGGCCAAGAGTCCAACACCACACAAAACCAATTTTACAAGTCAAACCTTTTACTGCAAAAACTTGAACACTCCCCCTCCAAATTTGCTTTCCGGCCATAAAAAATTAAAGACTTTGGACCCTTTCTTTAGTCTTTAAGCAGAAGAGAAGCGTGCCCCATCTGCACACCAATGCCTTGCCTTGTAAAGAACCCTAATTCTCTGACCTCTCTCTCTCTCTCTCTGCAAAAGCAAAGTTAAAGCCATTGGAGTCCTTTCTTTTTGGCCTTTTTCTCTTTCATTTTTCTTTCTCTTTTCTCTCTTTTCTGTCTTTCTTTTTGGAAGTTTCTCGTCACCATCCTCCATGGCCAAACATCCAATGCAGAAATAGGAGAATTTTTTACAACGTTGGAAACACGGACGGATATACATGTGTCATAATATAAGTGGTTGAAATTCTTTTTTAAGTGTTTAACAACTTATATTATGACATTTTATGAATCAGATCGTGTTTCCGACACACTGAAATTTATTTTCAGAAGTAGGACTTGTTAGATTGGGAACTACACCTTGTACTCAATTCACCATCAAGCTCTTCTCCAATAAAGTTCCAAAAAGATCATTTAACCAAGCTCGTTTAACTTTACTCTGTTTTTTTTTTCCACAAGGGAAAAAAGATCATTTGACCAAATATATTTATAAATTTCAACACCTTTGTGTTAGTTTATCTTCTTTGTTTGGTATTTTTATCTTCATGAAATCAACTTTAAAACAAAATTCAAGGGCTTCATTTGCATTGTGAACGACTTATAACTCAGTTGGCCATGCTCACGTCAACATTAAGACGACGAATTATAGTTTTTTTTTCCAAACAACACAACTAATCTTAAAAAAACGCAACTAAAAAGAATAGAGAAGAATAGTGCTAGACACACATTTTTTTTTATCGCTCATATACTTTTTATAAATTTCTATAATTTAATTTTTTTAAACTTATTTTATTCGACTGTCGAAAAAAATTGAATTTTTATACTAGAGGAAAGTATAGAGGGACTCGTGGTCCACTTGTGCAGCAAACAACAAAAACATCACGTTGTGGTCGAAAGTTTCTGCAAATGAAAGTTCAAAGTTCAAAGTCATGCGACGGAGCGTGGGGGCCAGCAATTGAATGAGAGAAAACCTCTGCGTCATCTCTTCACCAAAAGTTCTGAAAATCAAACCTCCATTTTTTTTCATAAAACAGTGTATGAATCTGTACATACACGTATGACCTACACCTCTCGATTCTGAAACGTTTCTCAGAGCATCCCTTCATAATACAAGAATCCAGATACTCGTCGGATTTTTTTTTTGAGGATTCCAGAGATTCGTAAATTATATTCGTTTATCGTTTTTTGTACGGTCTGAAATTATTTTAAATATTTTTATTTAAAATTAAATACAAAAAATACTTGATAAAAACTGATTGTACAATGTACGATGAACGGATATGATTTACGGATCTCCATAGTCTTCACCAAAAGGATTCGAAGAGGATCTTGTTGGATAAAACAAGAACATGTGAACTTAGGTGCCGTAAGTGGCTAGTTTAGGATTTGAATCTTGTGTGATTTTAGTATTAAAGGCTCAAGTTTTTCAGAAAAAAATAGAACCAAATATTTTTTCAGTTTATTCACTGAGCCATTTTGTCAAACAATTGACAAATTATATCAAGAGAATTTGTTGAGTATTTTCCATGTAACCTGTTGAGATATGTTTACCAAGTATTACATTAAACACATTCAGAGAATCATCCGTAGACCTTTAATGTACATTTTATAAACTATGAGTAGTTCGATTCTAATGTGCATCCGTCTATGCGTGCAACTACTCTTATCAATAAAACAAAATATAAATAAAAGGTTCATAAATAAAATTTACATATTTTTATTTTATTAACATAAAACGCTATATATGACCATCCAAGTTTTTCTCAAATCATAGGCCAAGCCTATCGATTCTGTGCTATCGACTGTTGGTGTGTACTTTTAGAATCACGTAATCAAGCCATGTAAACAAAAACAGAGAACCTACCAAATACAAAAAGAAAACAAAAAGCAATCTCTCTCTCTCTAAAAAGCAAAAGAAAAGCTTGTGTCCTCCCTCTCTCTCTCTCTCCTCTGTTTTCGATGCTGCAAACGCAACGCCATAAAACGAAGTGAAATTTTTAAATAAAGCACCTCTTTATTTCACTAATTTCTTCACGTTACCCTCCTCTCCCTGTCACTCACTCCTTCCTCGTATAAAACCCATCGAAACCCTACCCGTCTCTTAAACCCCCATCCGTCTCTCTCTCTCTCTCTCCTCCATAGCCATGGAAACTCTCTACTTCCTCAAGTTCTGGAAACCCAATGCCTCCACCGCCACACCTCCAAAATCTTCCGTAGCTAAAGAAAACGACGTCGAAGAAGAAGAAGAAGATTCTTTCTTCGACTTGGAATTAAGTTTCGACCTCATCCAAACCCCACAAGAAAACATCTTCGAATCCAAACCAAAATCAAACACCTCGGACAAAACAGCCGGCAAACCAACCCTTTCTGTGTCCACCTCCGATCCGATTTCCAAAAGAAAAATCCTCCCGATCGAGCCAGTTTCCAAGCCTCCTCAGTCCCCCATCGCTCTCCTTAAATCCGCCCCAAAGTTCGGAGCTTTAATGCTCAAAAAACCCAGACAGAAAACCGAGAAAAAAACAGGGGAAAAAGCAGAGCCGGAGGTTTCGATGGAGTCCCACAAGCAGAAAACCAAAGTAGTAATTGCGAAACAGCTCGCCGGAGAAGAGGCTCAAAACCCACCTAAGCTCACCCGAGAAAACAGCTCCATGAGAAGCGGAATCGGATTGCAGAATCCGAGGCTGGAAGACCCGAAAACAGAGAGATTTTCCAAGGATGTTTTGCAGAAGTACCTTAATCTGATCAAACCTCTGTACTCGAAGGTTTCCAGGAGGTCTACCGAGAAGGTGAAACCTTCTGTAGACTCACCGACGGCGTCGCCGGCGATGCCGATATTCTCTATGTGTTCGCCCAAAAAGGACAAACAGGGGAACTTTCCGGCGGGATTTAGAGTTGTCTCTAAGAACTTGGGGAAGAGCAAGTCGGCCACGGCGATGGTGGCGCCGCCGGTGCAACGGAGGGACGATTCCTTGCTGCTGCACAACGATGGGATTCAGAGCGCCATTCTGCATTGCAAGAGATCGTTCAACTCTAGAGGTACTGAGAGTTTTAAAATTAAAGGTTTCAAATTTTCATTCGTATTTTACTAAAATTAATGATGTTTATTAATTAATTTCGAATGTTTAATTTGGTTTCAGATTCTTTGTCTTCGTTGTCACGATCAACCAGTGATTCCTCCTCTACGAAATCATATTCTACAGGTGGAAATCACTTTGTTTTTTTCGAACAAATCAAGTGAAATTTCAAATTTTAAAAATTTACAGAAATTTTAACGTATTTTGCAGATTGTTCTCTGTTGTCGCGGTTTGCAAGTGAATCCCAGGACAAATCAGCAAGAAACTCGATCGAGGATGGGTACAGTGCTGAAATCTGAACCTTTGTTGGATTTTAATAGATAAAACGCGGGAAAAGCAGAGGAACCATGGCACTCTGTTCTCTCTGTGCTTCTGTAAAAACCACGGAAGAAATGAAAAGGAAAATATAAGGTTAGGTTAGGGTTGTTTTTGGTATTCTAGCTTCTAGGGTTTTTAGCTATGATGACGGGTGAGCACAGCATATGGGGTTCGCCTGTTCTAGTCTGTAAAGTGGTGTCATGATGAAAAAACTGCAGAAAAACAAAACAAAAAAATCTGAGATTTTGGGGATCTTTTTTGGTTTAGGGTTTCTGCTCTGAAGCACATCATGTTGCGTTTGAAATGAATGTGTGATGAAAGAAAATGTGTTTAAATCAATCAGAAGGATGTGTGACATTATTTTCTGAGTTCTCTGAGATTTTGATTTGACTCGGCAAGTTGGCATCTTTTGGTTTGGTTTTTTGTTTGGGAAAGGAATTCTCTCCGGATACTTTCTACTTAATTCTCATGCCTGTATCTTGAAATTTAATTCAACGGTTAAAATTAATATAATTTTTAATGGGATATTTTTGTTTGTAGACGTTAGAAATTTTTTTAAAGGTCTGGATTTGTGGATCTTGAGGGAAGGAATCAGATCCCTTTCCTTTTTTTGGGGATTTCACTTTCCAGGAGAATTGAAAGAGGATGGAATCAGATGCTTGTTTTTTAATTCCTCATAAAATCTGGTAGTTGGAAATTAATTTTGGTTGTTGCCTGTATTAGTCTGGCTATTGAACGGACGTTCGTTTTGTTGCCATGTCATTCATAAAGTTTCGATATTATTGGGTCCAAAGTAACATGTAAAGAATTATTGTACGTGTGTAAGTTGTGTAAGTTATGAAATGAGGCCTACAAGTAAGTTGTATTGGATAGAATCAGATGCTTGTTTTCTAATTCCTCATAAAAACTGGCAGTTGGAAATTAATTTTGGTTGTTGCCTATAATAATCTGGCTATTGAATGGACGTTCGTTTTGATTCTATGTCATTCATAAAGTCTTGATATTAATGGATCCAAAATGATGTAAAGAATTGTCGCATGTGTGCAAGTTATGAAACGAGGCTTATAAGTAAGTTGTATTGGATGAAATCTTGAATCTTTAAGAAACATACTAGGGAAGTTTAGCGGCCTCGTATGCTACACGTCACTAAAAAAACTTAAAATTTAAGAAACAAGAGCATATGAGCATGTGAAGGGTGTGAATTAATTGTCTCACGTTCAGAAGTTTAGAAGGAATGAAATATGAGTGTGCCAAAGAAATGAAGATTTATGATCACCACTAACCTGGGGAAAATTTGGTTAATTCGATCCCGACAGCATTTTTTCTTTTTATAAATATAAAGTGCTTTTGAATTGCGAAAGAAGCATTTTATTTGGCTTTTATTAAAATCTGACTTCGTTTCAAAGTGAACAAAAGAAAAGCATTCAGAAGGTGGCAGATGCTGACACTCTCTCCCCCAGTCTCTATGGCCACCCATCCCATCTGGTTATGGTAGCTGGGTTGGCTGGAGAGGAGAGATTCAATTCAACTTTTGACTGACTGTTGCAGCAGTGGAAGGGCTATGCGATCATTGGTGCAACAAAAAAGTTATTTTTTTTGCAATTAAAAAGTTAAGGATTCAAGTTGTGAAAATAATTTTTTTTATAAAATAAAAGTAAACGATGTACAATTGAGACTCTCGTAAAACGAAGAGTCTTGTTAAGTTGGGATCGTCATTTTTTAATTACAAATTCTCCCCTTCCAAAGTTTTACATGCATTTTACTGCATTCTTCCTAAGTTCTACCCGTAGTTTTATCTGTCCGCAGTTATATTGAAAGGAGTCTAAACCTCCTATAATCCTAACGTAATATCCCACTCACTGCACCACTTCAGCTAACTCTAAGAGCTTCTCTACGTGTAGATTTTGAGTCTATAATTGAGGACTAAATAATTTATTATTAGAATTCATGATCGAAATTATAACAAACTCGAAAAATTTTCTTCTTTCCTAAGCTATACTAGTAGTTTTACCTGTCACGGTTATATAAAGAGGAGTCGAACTCTAAACCTCCCATAATCCTAACATATTACCCCTCTCTCCGCGCCACTTCAGCTAACACTAAGAGCTTCTCTACATCTAGATTTTGAGTCTAAAACTGAGGACTATAGAATTTAATGTTAGAATTCATGATCGAAATTATAACAAACCCTCAAATTTATATAAAAATCATATCAGTAAATCAAAAGGAGCAAGGCATGCACTTGCACTGCAGTTCAAACACATAATTATGATGAGCAAGAAATGCCAAAAAAGACACCAAAATTTGTGGCCCCAAAATTCCATCGGAGACACGAATGCAATCACGGTGAACCACATTGCAGACATGCCAAAGAAGAAAATATGACAAAAAACAAAAAGGAAACCACATAGCTCGGGCACCAATAGATTTCAACTTCACAGTTGAGACCATTATCTAGTCACAAGTTAAGTGAGACTGACTTACATGAAACGAGAATGTGAAGTTGTCGGCGTTCCATACCAACTATGCGATATCATGTGATAAAAGAAATGAGAAATTGTGGTAGATTTAAGACACTACCATATTTACGTCCCTCAGTTTCATGTAGTCCTTTAGAGGTACCCTACTTTCTAATGCCGGTTTCAATTAGACCAAAATTATCTATGTTGAGTTGTCTTCAACTCACCCAATTCGTTCCACTAAATGAATATGCATCTGCAAAGGAGGATAAATCCTAAAGTTATTCTTTTTTTTCGACATGATATAAAGTAGCGTAAATACATTGTTCTATCTTTTTTTTAAAATTATTTTAAGGAGGGATCTTTTTATAAATTTCGCATAGCACCTTCAAAATCTCAGAGATGACCCTGAGTACAAATAGTTTTGTTAGTGCATCTCTAATGGTTTAGGCAAAGAAAATAGGCAAAATTGTACTACAAAGGTTGACGTGTCTTCTATTTTTTTTTTCCTTTCTTCACATAAAATAGTGACAAGGCCTCATCTGCCTATAATTGGGTCTAGGCAAAATTTGCCTACCCAATTGACTACATCATTGGAGCTACTCATTTGCGTACTCCGTTGAAGATGCTTTTGCACTTATTCACAATGGTAAGTGCCATGTACCTACGTGCAAACTACACTAACAGAATTGTTATAAATTTATTGAATTATGGTTGACAAAATGCTCGACGCAATGTGAACACAATACAAAACACCACAAAATCGATTTTTAGATTGTGTTTCTTGGTACTCTTACAAGTATTCCAAGTTCTCTATGACAAGATAGTAGCGATGGTGTATTATGGTTAGTATTTTAGAAACTTCAACGAAAAACTCTCGGTACTGTTCATTTTAACGAAAAATCATATTTTTATATTAAAAAGTTAATCGTGGTACTATTCATTTTATTATTTATTTTATCCTTATCGTTAAAACTCAAAGTTTCTAAACCTTTTTCATTTGTATTTTAGGTGGGCTTCATATTTTTAAACAATATATTAACTCCTAACTCCTGAGTGCCTAAATTAGGACAAAAGAAGAGTTGATAAGTCGAGGCAAATGCTACTGTTCACTGCATCTGCACAAGTTGGAGCAGCAGAAAGACATGATTCAGTTTAAGTGTTTCAATCAAGAAATGTGATTAATTATATATACGCAGATGAATGCAATGCACCACGAAACACCACACAAACAGACACCCGACACCATATTTTCAACCGAGGACAATTAGATTTGCTGTGTTTCCTCCACAGATATCGTGTCTGGTGATAATATATAAACTTCTGGGACAATATTAGCACCAAATAATCTTGACAATTTCTTCTACGGTTCGTTAACCTGACACACAGTGACATGAAAATAACTGATTTTGTGTCAATCTATTGGCGAGTCAGGTCGTTATCAGATCACCTGTTAACAAGTCAAGTCGTTATCAGGTTACTCGTTAAGAACCATATAAGATATTATTTGCTATATCTAGACATTATGCATGACAACTTCTTCCATGACCCGTTAACCTGACACAACCTACTAACGAATCGGGTCATTATTGGCTCACTTGTTAAGAACCAGTTAAGATAACGAATTTAGTATGAACGAACTGTTAAAATAATAGGTATGATACAAAAATGATGAACACGATAAACTATTGTGTTAGGTCATTAGCATCCGTGTCTATGATCATGTCATGTGAGCTCATTTTCCAACTTTAGCTTTCTTTTTAGGGTAAATCAACATTCTTAGGAAACATTAGGATTCGAATTAGATTTCTTTTGCTGCAGTTCATTGGATCTGTCTCAATCATCGGCCAAGCTTTCCGGAACGTTCAAACAATATCAAAGTACCGGCTCGTGCTTCAGACAATCTATACACAATGTCAAAGTACCGGCTCGTGCTTTAGACCGTCTATACATATAAAATTGTAATTTGTAGAAAAGAACGACTCCTTCCAATAAAAAACCCAAGCACAAGCAAAATTTTATTAAAAATAAACGGTCAAAATTGAATTAAAAATTTCTATTTTCTAGTAAATGTAAAGCCGGACTACTCAGAACTCACCCAACAACTATAAACCACTTGAAGTCGAGAATGAAAATAGCATCGAATTATGTACCTGGCAACCCAAACTGTTAAGGCCCGGACAATCATTTTTCTCTGTTTTTTGAAGGTTCCGAAAAAATCATTACAGCCCAGTGGAGAGGTATAATTAGGCCGAAATCTTTTATTTGGGCTACTTCATGGGTCTACTTGAAACCAAAATTTAAACAAGGGCATAACCTGAAGGTTTTTTTTAGTTAAAATGATTTTTGAGATTGACATAAATTATAACTCCTTGTTTAAGTATTTGAGATTTAAAATCGATAGAATTGGTCATTCAGTTCGTCCACCATCAATCATTTTGGTCATTCCGTAAAAATCTTTGTTAAACTGAGGATTTTTTTCACGAAAGTGAAGGGGTTGACTTGACAAAAATACTTTTAATTTAACGGAGACTTTTAATGAAATGACAAAATGAGGCGATGAACAAACTCAGTGATCACTTCTATCGATTTTAAATATCATGGATTAAAATAAATAGTTATGTCAATCTTAGAGACCATTTTAACTAAAGAGCCTAACCATAATGGTTAATGACAAGCTATAAGATTTTGAAACCATCAATCATAACAATATGCAATTGAATTCAATATTATTAACACTTCAAACCACTTTCGAATCACTAATCACAAACAAAGAATATTAGATAGGAAAATTAATAACGGACTACATTGTACAGCTGCAAAATGTCTCATATCTCACAAAACAATCTAAAAATGAAAAATGAATTAAACAGTATACGTATGAAGTATCACTTGCAGACAATATTTTGCA